GCTACAACTGGAAAAATTGGGGGTACCACATATAAGGTTAAGGAAATGTCAAAATAGCAGGGGGATTCAACCGAACAACAACTACAACTCAGTTATGCAAATACAATCAACTGAATAAAATGTTACCTCGTTCTGCGAAGTTAACACTCGTAAGGTACCGATTTGGAGTCTTTAAACAGTGGTATTAGCTTCGACGGAGCTCAACCTGTTAGGGATGAAGAAAAGGATACCTAACGATGAGTAAATTGCAGGTGGAATCAATACAACAAACCAACAACTCAGATTTGCAAGCTGAAGAAAATATTACCTGAATCTGAGAATCAATTTTGGCAATGGATACGTTCCAAATCGGAGTCTTAAACAGTGGTTTTAGCTTCGATAGAGCTCAACCTGTTAGGGATGAAGAAATGGATACTACCTATGGTCGTTTCGTAGTTAAGAAGATCGATTAGTTTATGCGAGAGATTGATGCTGTCCATCGGTGACATGGAACCCCCGGTCTAGTGGTTGAAGAAGTCTTCATTGAGTATGAATTCACGGTGTTCGTAGGACTTGTGAATGCCCTAGGTGGATCTCTACTCGACCGCATGATTGTGTTTTCACCATCGATTCAGTTTGCATATCTCTCCCATGGAAATATTTCAAAGTCGCAAGAACTGCTTCTTGGCTGCCTTTCTTATTCTGTTTTGCTGGTCTATTTTTGTTTTTCTTTTTGTTTTTAGTAATTGCTTTTGAGAGTTGGGCTGGAGTCACTTTTGGACTCAAGTCTTTAAGTTTGGCTCTCTTTATAATAAATGGGCTCGACCCAATCTTTTGATTTAAAAAAAAAAGAAAAGGATATGACTCTTTCGATGAGTTGTGACTTTTCTGATAAGTTGCGACTTTTTTCATAGGGTTGTGATTTTTCGATGAGTTGTGACTATTCCAAATAGTTGTGACTTTTCCAAAGGGTTGTGACTTCTTGGAAAGGTCATGACTTTTTGACTTTTTGATGAGTTGTGACTTTTCTGATAAGTTGTGACTTTTTCCATAGGGTTGTGATTTTTCGATGAGTTGTGACTTTTCCAAAGGGTTGTGACTTCTTGGAAAGGTCATGACTTTTCGACTTTTTCGATGAGTTGTGACTTTTTCCATAGGGTTGTGATTTTTCCATGAGTTGTGACTTTTCCAAAGCGTTGTGACTTATTCAAATTGTTGTGACTTTTCCAAAGGGTTGTGACTTCTTCGAAAGGTCATGACTTTTCAGATAAGACACAATTAACAATTGTTTATACTACCCTTTTTTGACTATAAATATAGGGGTTTCCTCTCATTTTTCGACCACAATTTTTTTTTTAATCTTCTACTCTTCTTCTTCTTCTTCTTCTTCTTCTTCTGGCATTTTAAAAAATTTCGTGTGATTTATTGTCATTGAGTGAGTTCAAAGTTTAGCGGAATATGATATACCACTATTTTGATTAAGTAAATTATTACGCCTTAACCTCGAGTACTTGAGTAAAATAATTCTGATGATATAAGAATTATTTTTTTGCTTAGATAGTATATAATGTTCCAATATATGAAGTTAACATGAAGTAGTCTAAACTCATTTATCTTTGTTAACAATTTCTCTTGTGATGCAAATATATGCTTCTGAATATCTTTTTCAAATATTATTAAACTTCTCAAGAGTTAGAGAATTGTCACGATTTATTTTTTGATGCTCAAGACAAAAGAATGATTTTTTTTATCAATGCTACTTATGTGATTTTGATTGTCAGAAAGTTTGCTTCAAAATAGTTATTACTATATAAACATTGTCCTTTTGTTTTATTGATTTATTATTTCTTAATATGTAAGTATTTTCGACTAAGAAAAATTTATATGACTTGTAATTGTAACGACCGGGTTCCGTCGTTATAGAAAAGCCAACGGGGAAATTTTTTGGGTCGGAAAACTTTTTCGTAGTAACTTGGAATTTCTCAACCTAGTCCAGATTTGGACGAAATCGGAGTATTAAAGGCTAGAGAAAGCTGGTAGCATTTGGGTGATCCAATTATGATTTCGATTACATGAGTAGTTAGATAAGACGTTAAGGAATCCATACGACTTTACGAAATTGAATTCGGGTGAGTAGAACTCCTGAAATTGATCTTAGCGTGAACGAGTGTTTTCTGAGTGTCGTTGGTGGAAGGTGTGTTGTGAAATGGGGGTCTTGGAATTATTAAAATAGCTCACTATTTCGTGCAAGCCGCTTTAGCAGTGAATTTTGTCGCTCTGGCAAGGCCGCTGTAGCGGGGTGATGACCGCTGTGGCGGGCCAGATGAGACTTAAAGTCGTAAATAAACCCCAAAACGTCTTTATTCTGCACTTTTTGGTTTTTAGAGCTATGGAACGAACACCAGACGATTCTTGACAGTTTTCCACAATTTTTAAGGCTAAAGGTAAGATTTTAACTCCCCAAATCCATTTTTCGATCTGTAGAACGCAATCTAATGGGTAATTATCGATGGGGGAGGGTTTTGATCTAGAAACTATGGTGGAAAAACCCCTAATTTGGATACTTGGGATCATGGGTATGATCTAGGGTTGTTAGAATTGTTAGTAATTCGAATAATTAGTGATTGTTTATTGATTCCCGTATTATATTGATTGTTTGTAAACCAAGAACAAGCGGAACGAATCCGAAAAGGGAAGGATCAAATTTCTTAGGGTTTCGAGCTTGTTTCGAGGTAGGTGATGGTTGTGATTTTATGATTGTGTGATGTATGTTTGTTCTTGCTTCATTATGATACATGTATGTATGAGAATGTTACATTATTGATCACACTTGTTGTAAATGAGGATATATGAATGATGAATGTCATGAACCATGACTTGATTGTATGATTATGAGAATGTACTTTGTGATTGTGATTATGGTTTGTTGAATGGATCGGGTGTTGCATTCCGACACACTAACTTAGATCAATTGACACGTTCTGGCATAAATATGGGATCGGTTGCCACATTTCGGCATAATCATTGGATCGGGTACCACGTTCTGGTATACTAATTGTTTGGGTTTGAGTTCCATTAGAGGACCAATGACTTGTCATAATTGTGTATCTTGAGAAATGTGAAGTTGTTCGTTGTTCGTAAATGTTGATAATATTGTATATGTTTTATATATGCATGTGATTATATTATTGTATTGACTTATCTATGTTGCACTTAGTGGGATAGCCGTGTGATCCTACCAGTACACTGTGGTTGTGTAATGATACTGCACTTGCTATTTCTTTGTTGAGTACAGGGCATCTTCAGGTGGCTATTGACATACCTTGCTTAGAAGATCAGTGATCATCGTTCGAATTCAAGGGTGAGCGTTCTTCCAGGCTGCCATGAGTTCTCCTTTCCTCTATGTCCACATTTCGGACTTAGACTTTTCTAGTTAGTTTATTAGTTCATTAGTTTGGAGTTGTATTCCTTCTTGTTTAGACTTGTTGAACTTTAGATGTTTTGGTACATTGACTTTCAGGTTCTAGGTATATTTTATGCATTGTTACTTGTTAGATCTTTTGGAAGTTTATGGGAACTTCAATTTTAGCTACTATTCCTGTTTTCGTATCCTTAAATGCTTTAGTTTTTGGGTTAGTTTCTTGGTTTGGGTTGTAGTAGTGGTTCTCCCACCAGAGGGTTAGTGTGGGTGTCAATCACGATGGTCTGGGTCGTGACAAAGTTGGTATCAGAGCCTAGGTTCGTTGATCTCGATGTACCAAAACAAGTCTAGTAGAGTCTTGCAGAACGGTACGGGGACACCTTTACTTTTCTTCGAGAGGATATAGGACTTTTGGAAATCTCTCTGTTTTCTCTTGTCTCCTTTCGTGCTATAACTTGATTCCAATTGGTATCTGGCGATTCAAATTGGTATCTAACCTCATTCACTCTTCTGTCCGCAGATGGTTAACACTAGATTCAATGGCGTCAGGCCCGTAACTCCTGTCAGTGCTCCAACTGAGGAATCTACAACGAGAGGTCGCGATCGAGGCAGGGGTAGAGGCCGAAGAAGAGTGGCGCCTGCTAGAGATGGGGTACCGATCGAAAATGCTCCCTAAAATGAAGCCCATCCCGTACATCATGAAGAGATAGAGTAGAATGTTGAGGTTGGAAATATTGAGGAGGGTGGACAAGAGGAAGAGGTGCAGGCTGAAACTAGAGGTATTCCTCCTTTGGACCCAGTGTTAGCTCAGTAGATTATGCCATTCTTGAAAGGGTTGGTTGGTCCTGGAGTGTTTCCCTCTGTTCAAGCAACTCAAGCTCCTACTAATCCCCCTGTGGTTATCACTACGCCCAAGGTGGGTGGGACTGGAGGTAATGATGCTTTCCTCCGTCCTTTGTTGAGTTCTGTTATGACTGGTAATGAACATGAGATGTTGACTAAGTTTTTGAAGCTAAATACTCCTGTATTTCTTGGTTCTGAGAGTGAGGATGCTTTTGAGTTTATCTTAGATTGCTATGAGAGGCTTCATAAGTTGGGAATTGTCCATCATCATGGGGTTGAGTTCGTGACTTTCCATTTTCAAGGTAAGGCAAAACAGTGGTGGAGAGCTTATATGGAATGCAGATCTTCAACTTTACCTCCACTCTATTGGACCCAGTTTCATGCTCTGTTTTTAGAGAAATATGTGCCCAGGACTTTGAGAGATCGCAAGAAGGATGAGTTTATGACTTTGGAGTATGAGGCCAAGTTCCATGTGTTGTCTAGATATGCTACTCAATTGGTGACTACTGAGGATGAGAGGATCCGTTTATTTATTAAGGGACTAAATTCTGAGTTGCAGGTATTATCTATTCACATGACCTCTGTAGGGAGGAGCTTTAATGAGGTAACAAACTTTGTTAAGAAAGTGGAGGGGGTGAGTCGAGACAGTCAGGCTAAGGCATTGGCAAAAAGGGCCAAGAACTCGGGTAACTTTCAAGGTTCTTACTCCAAGGGGTTCGGAAGGTCAACACTTGCAGCCAAGCCAATTTAGTCCGCTATGCCTGCCTCTACAGATAATTATTCGGGAAGTTCATCTCATAATTTGATCCAGGATAGCCAGGGAGTTACGCCTTCGACGGGCGGCAGACCATCTTTTGATCATACTTTCTACAATCTTGGAGAACCTAGGAATATGAAGAGAGATTGTCCCCATCTAGGAGTGTTAGATTCCGTGCAGCAACAGACTAGAGCAGTGGTACCAGTGGGAAATAGTAATAATGGTATGGGACGTCCACAAAGTGGGCGAGGAGGTAATCAGCGAGGCTGTAGAGGTAGAGAAAATGGTAACGCAGGCAGAGGTAACACGCAACCAGGCAGGAAAGTAGCTCGTCAAGATGATAAGGCTCAGTATTATGGCTTTCCGAGTAAGAATGAGGCAGAGACGTCTGAAGCAGTGATCACATGTACTATTCTTGTCTGTGACCGGATGGCTAATGTGTTATTTGATCCGGGTTCTACTTATTCATATGTATCCGTGAGATTTGCCTCAGAATTTGCTATGATTTGTGATATACTTGATGCCCCTATCCATATTTCTACCCAGTTGGAAAATTTGTCATAGTCACCCATGTCTATCGTGCTTGTCCTATTTTGTTTAAGGGTTTTTAGACTTGGGATGATTTTGGATATGACTGACTTCGATGTAATCTTAGGCATGACTTGGTTGTCCCCCTATTATGTTGTGCATAATTGTAATACTAAGTCTGTAATTCTACAAATTCTGGGAAGGGAAAAGATAGAGTGGGAAGGGGTGTACAAGCCTAAGCAAGCTAAGATCATATCCTCCATTCGGGCTAGTAAATTGGTAGGGCAGGGTTGTTTGGCTTATTTGGCTCATATTAGGGATGTAGAGGTTGAGACTCCATCTATTGAGTCTATCCCTGTGGTGTCATATTTTAGAAAATTATTTCCTAATGACTTGCCTGGTATGCCTCCGGATAGAGATATAGATTTCTGCATTGATTTAGAACTTGGTACTCGTCCCATTTCTATCCCTCCATATCTCATGGCTCCAACAGAATTAAGAGAGCTTAATGCTCAAATCCAAGAGCTTCTTGATAAGGGATTTATTCATCCTAGTGCTTCCCCATAGGGTGCTCCAATTTTTTTTGTTAAGAAAAAAGATGGTAGTATGAGAATGTGTATAGATTACCGAATTAAATATGGTCACTATTCGAAACAAGTATCCTTTGCCTCGAATAAATGATCCTTTGACCAATTGTAAGGTACATCAGTTTTCTCCAAGATTGATCTAAGGTCTGGCTACCATCAATTGAAAATTAGGCCTTGAGGATGTGCCCAAAACGACGTTTAGAACCTGCTATGGGTACTATGAGTTTCTATTTATGTCTTTTGGTTTGACAAATGTGCCTGCAACTTTCATGAGTTTGATGAATGGGGTGTTCAAACCATTTCTTGATTTGTTCGTCATAGTCTTTATTGTGGATATCTTGGTCTATTCGAAAAGTGAGGAAGAGCATGCCGACCATCTTCGTATTGTTCTGGGTGTTCTTGGGAAACAAAAGTTATATGCGAAATTCTCTAAGTGTGAATTTTGGTTGACTTCGGTTACATTTTTGGGGCATGTAGTTTCAAAATAAGGGGTAATGGTAGATCCTCAAAAGATTAAGGCGGTTAAAAATTGGGTTCGGCCTAGCTCTGTGACAGAAGTTAGGAGTTTTGTGGGGCTCGCTAGCTACTATCGTCGATTTGTGAAGAACTTTGCTTCTATTGCCACTCATTTGACAAATTTGACCAAAAAAGAGATACCATTTGAATGGACTGAAAAATGTGAGGAGAGCTTTCAAAAGCTCAAGACTCTCTTGACCACCACACCTATTCTAGTGTTACCAATTGAAGGTAAAGATTTTATTATTTATTGTGATGCTTCACATTTTGGTTTTGGTGTTGTGCTGATGCAGTATAAGAATGTTATAGCGTATGCATCGCGTTAATTGAAGGTGCATGAGAGGAATTGCCCAACACATGATTTAGAGTTGGCAGCGATAGTGTTTGCTCTTGAGATCTGGCGACATTATCTATATGGTGTTAAGTGTGAGGTATTTACCAATCATCGTAGTTTGTAACATGTGTTCACTCAAAAGGATCTGAATTTGAGACAACAAAGGTGGATGTAGTTACTTAAAGATTATGATGTCACCATTCACTACCATCTGAGCAAGGCTAATGTGGTGGCATATGCTCTGAGTCGGAAAGCGGTGAGTATGAGTAGTTAAACTTGCTTGAGTGTATCCAAGCGACCCTTGGCTAAGGAAATTAAGACTTGGGAGTCTAAATTCATGCAGTTGGGCATATCTGAAGAAGGTGGGGTGTTAGCTAGAATTGAAGTGAGGGCCACATTCATTGAGGAGATCAAAGTCAAACAGTTTGAGAATGAGAATTTGGAAGAGCTTAGAAAGAAGACTGCGATTGGTAAGGCACAAAAGACCACTCTTGATGCGGAAGGTGTGCTCAGTTTTAAAGGAAGAATTTATGTTCCTAGAGTAGATGACTTGATTCAGAAATTATTGGCAGAGTTTCATGGTTCGCGATATTTTATTCATCCGGGTGTGACCAAGATGTACAGAGATTTGAGGCGAATTTATTGGTGGCTGGGCATGAAGAAGGATACAGCGGAGTTTGTGGCTAAGTGTCAACATTGTCAACAAGTGAAGTATGAACACCAAAGACCTGCAGGTTTGCTTCAAAGAATGCCAATTCCGGAATGGAAGTGGGAAATGACAGCCATGGATTTCGTGGTTGGTCTTCCCAAGACTTTGCAGAAGTTTGATTCTATTTGGGTAGTGGTTGATAGATTGACTAAGTCAACCCATTTTATTTCGGTAAGAATAGTTTATAATGCTGAACAATTGGATAAAGTTTATATGAAAGAGATAGTGAGGTTGCATGGGGTGCCCTTTTCTATCATCTCAGATCGTGGTACACAGTTTACGTCCAAGTTTTGGAGGAAATTACATGATGAATTGGGCACACAACTCACTTTTAGTACAACTTTTCATCCACAGACGGACGGACAGTCAGAGAGGACTATTTAAGTGTTAGAAGACATGTTGAGGGCATGTGTGATTGATTTTGGAGGACATTGGGATAAGTTCATACCTTTGTGTGAGTTCTCTTATAATAATAGTTATCACTCTAGAATAGATATAACACCGTTTGAGGCACTTTATGGGAGGGGATGTAGATCACCCATATGTTTGTTTGAGGCTGGAGATGTGAAACCTTTGGGGGTTGATTTAGTGAAGGATTTCAAGATAAGGTGAGGAGTATTCAAGCTAAGCTTTTAGCAGCCCAGAGTAGATAGAAGAAATATGCAGTTCATAAGGTAAGAGACATGACATTTCAAACCGGTGAGAATGTTCTTCTTAAGGTATCACCCATGAAAGGGGTGATGAGATTTGACAAGAAAAGTAAGCTAAGTCCGCGATACATTGGTCCCTTTGAGGTTCTTGAATGTGTAGGACCAGTGGCGTATAGATTGGCTTTACCTCCTAATTTAATGGGAGTTCATACGGTATTTCATGTGTCCATGTTGAAGAGGTATCGTGGTGATGGGGATTATATCATTAAGTGGGACTCAATTGTGTTATACAAAAACCTCCAATATGAGGAGGAACCAGTTGCAATTCTTGATCGTAATGTGGATAAGATGAGGACCAAAGAGATTAAGTCCGTGAAAGTTCAATGGAAGCATCGTCCAGTTGAGGAAGCTACTTGGGAAACCGAGAGGTACATGCGAGACAAGTATCCCCAATTGTTCGTTGATTCAGGTACTACTTCATTCCTTTTTTAGCCTGTTTTTCCTAAGTTTGTCACTCGGGGACGTGTGATGGGTAAATTGGTATCTATTGTAATGAATGGGTTCTGTCGTTATAGAAAAAATTTGGGTCGGAAACTTTTTCGTAGTAACTTGGAATTTCTCAACCTAGTCCAGATTTGGACGAAATCGTAGTCATTAAAAGCTAGAGAAACCTGGTAGCAATTCAATGATCCAATTATGATTTTGATTACATGAGTAGTTAGGTAAGTTGTTAAGGAATCCGTATGACTTTATGGAATTGAATTCGAGTGAGTAGAACTCCCGAAATTGATCTTAGCGTGAATGGGTATTTTTTGAGTGTAATTGGTGGAAGGTGTGTTGTGAAATGGGGGTCTTGGAATTATTAAAATAACTCACTGTTTCATGCAAGCCTATTTAGCGATGATTTTTTTCGCTTTTGCGGGGTCGCTTTAGAGGGGTGATGACCGCTGTGGCGGGCCAGACGCAACTTAAAGTCATAAATAAACCCCAAAACGTCTTTATTCTGCACTTTTTTTATTTTTAGAGCTAAGGAACGAACCCCAGGCGATTTTTGACAGTTTTCCACCATTCTTAAGGCTAAAGGTAAGATTTTAACTCCCCGAATCCATTTTTCGATCCGTTGAACGTAATCTAATGGGTAATTATTGATGGGGGAGGGTTTTGATCTAGAAACTATGGTGGAAAAAGCCCTAATTTAGATACTTGGGATCATGGGTATGATCTAGGGTTGTTAGAATTGTTAGTAATCAGTGTAGTTTGTGATTGTTTATTGATTCCCGTATTATATTGATTGTTTGTAGACCAAGGACAAGCAGAACGAATCCGAAAGTGAAAGATCAAATTTCTTTGGGTTTCAAGCTTGTTTCGAGGTAGGTGATGATTGTGATTCTATTATTGTGTGATGTATGTTTGTTCTTGCTTCATTATGATACATGTATGTATGCGAATGTTGCATTATTGATCACACTTGCTGTAAATGAGGATATATGAATGATGAATGTCATGAATTATGACTTGATTGCATGATTATGAGAATGTACTTTGTGATTGTGATTGTGGCTTGTTGAATGGATTGAGTGTTGCGTTTCGACACACTAACTTGGATCGGTTGCCACGTTCCGACATAATTATGGGATCGGTTGCCATGTTTTGGCATAATCATTGGATCGGATACCACGTTCCGGTATGCTAATTGTTTGGGTTTGGGTTCCATGAGAGGACCAATGACTTGTCATAATTGTGTATCTTGAGAAATGTGAAGTTGTTCGTTGTTCGTAAATGTTGATATTATTGTATATGTTCGATATATGCATGTGATTATATTGTTGTATTGATTTATATATGTTGCACTTAGTGGGATAGCTGCATGATCCAACCAGTACACTGTGGTTGTGTACTGATACTGCACTTGCTCTTTCTTTGTTGAGTGCAGGGTATCTTCAGGCGGCTATTGATAGACCTCGCTTAGAAGATCAATGATCATAGTTCGAATTCAAGGGTGAGTCAGTTCTTCCAGGCCGCCATGAGTTCTCCTTTCGTCTATATCCACATTTCAGACTTAGACTTTTCTAGTTAGTTGAT